GTTCACACACAGGTTGCTCTTGTGTGGAAAGTGACGTCTTCAGGCTTAGCAGTTAATCAGGTGACGTCACCAATGCAGCTTTTAGTGAAATACTGCTGTCCTGTTCAAAACCTTCCGAAGTTTGGGAAGCAGGTGCGCAGACATCTGTGAGAGAATTTCTATAAATAACTACTCTCCATTTCCACTGCAAGTAGTGACAGCAAACCTCTAATTCTTTGGCAGGAAAAGCATACAGGAGAAAGTCAGCCAAGTGTCCAGTTCAAAGAGTCATGCACTGCTAATTAAATATTGCTTGTCCCTTTCTATTTGGAACCTCAGTCCTCTGTTCTGGAAATTTTAGTATATACACCCACTTGAAAATCAGGTTTTACAGGGAGGGAGGGAGGGAGAGAGAAACAGAGAGAGACAGAGACAGAGACTGAAGCAGCCAAGTATAAAGCTTCAATGCATTTGAACTGAAATTTACCAATGTATTCAGATAGGGGCCTCCAATACAATGGATTATTTTATATTGTCTGAATATTTTAAAAAGCTTTTTTGCATAAAAATATCTGGGAAATAGGGAGGAGATGACAATAGGAAAAAAAATAAAAATCCATCTAAATGTAACCAATTATCATTTGCAAATACTATGAAATTAAACAGAAATGCATTTAAATATCTATTTATAAAGTATCTCTAGATAAGAAAATATGAGTTTAAAGTTGATTTAAAGCACTAGCTAGCGCAGAGGCAATTATCATTAAAAGAAAAGTTCAAACAAGGGCTTTGCAAAACTGGCATAAAAATTGATATCCCAGATGTTTGGATGTCAATGTGAAATTGAGCGTGACAACAAGTGGATAAGAGTTAACACAAAGAAGAAAAGTTAGCTTCTTTCTTTTCTTCAAGCCTATCTCAGGTTTCATAGTAAAAATTGGATGCAAATATCCTAAAAAAGACTAATGACATTTCACAGGTAATGCAATTTAGAAAGAAACACTTCCATGTTTTCTTTTCCAACAATGTGCATTTTTGTAAACTGCTATAAATTGCAATTCAAAAGCCCTGATCTTCCCATCCCCAATCATTTTTTATACTGATCAAATGAATGCAGATACTCTCATTTGGGAGGGGCAACATGACATTTCACTTGGCAGTTCTAAACGGGTCACGGACCTTTCACAGACCCTAAGGCAGTGGGAGGGAGCGCTTTACGAAACCGTGTAACCAAATCAAACCAATGGTTACCCCCTTTCAATTCCACTGGAGTGGCTTGCACAATGCTTATTCACATAGCAGCAGAGGAACTGAAAGGATGGTCATCCAATGGAAATGTCTTTTCCTTTGTTTGATCTTAACAGAGCTTCAAAATAGTAGAAAACCATTACATCTAGCAACAACAAAAATGCACACAAACCCAGTACACATCTTTGAGAAGGTGGATACATTAGCGAGGGTAGTGAGCTTCAGTGCTTAAAAACAGCTATGCAGGCTATATGGAATTGAATATGGACATTTATGGGAGATGTTGCTTTGTTTGAAGCCATGAACACAAAGACACAACATGGCTGCCCTGGAGATGACCTATTGCTTTCAAGTTGCTTGAGCACATCAGAATTTCCATTGTTAAGGTTGATTAATTGAAACTGATAAGTTACCATGAATAAAGATTGTTTTTCTGTTTAATGTGGTGGGCCTGATTTGGTAAATGCTTCATTCATGTAGCCTTGCAGTGCAGCATATGGGCAAGATTCATTCAGTATCACAAACATACAGAATTTATTATGCTTGTATGGTCACAGCGAAAAGGTCTTTCTAGTTTAATGTCAAAGTCTGAATGAAAAATTCCATTTAAAGTGTCACTAGTAATGTTGCATCTGAGTTTTGTCCTTCAGACTGGCTCTTTAGTTTCAAATTCAAAAATCGTACATTAAAAAGTTAAATTCTACAACAAAGTAGATGAGAGAGGTAAGGAGGCATCGGCTTTCTTTCAAAACAGACAAGCAATTTATCTGAAATGTTTGTAGACACCTATGACAAAGGCACATGTTATGGTCTGGTGCCGCCCTATGTCACACACTGCTGATAAAGTTATCACCATAATGTTTCAATAAGATACTGTCACCCCAGTTCTAAGGATCTGACATTCCTGTGTCTTTTTGCTGGAAGAAAAAGTCAAGTTTACATAATAAATGTGTTCTTTTAGAAAGAGAAAATCAGAAACCAAAGCTCTATAAATTATTTCACTGCAACAGTACTGTCATGACCGGGTAAATATTGTATATTCTTTGAAGTTCAGTTGGTTTAATTAATTCCGTTAACAATTAAAAGGTGTTTCACTTAAAAAAATAAACTAACTAGCCAATGACTGCATCACTGATAGAAAATAATAATTTAAAAAATTGGTTTAGGCTCCAATTAACTTTATTCATTTTGGGATTGGATAGTATATACATTTATAACAACAAGAAACACAATTGTTCTTCTTATGATCTTCGAAAAGCTACTGTCAATGCCTTTGGACTCATTGCTGGAAATACTGTATTTTCTTAGATGATGTTGAACGGATATGGTTAACAATGCAGAAAGCAGGCTTGTGGCTCTGCGTTGACTTGCACCCTTTTATGATCTCAACGAGTGAAGCCAAAAATGAACAATTTTTTTTCTATTGCGTTTTCATGTTAGAGAGGGTTTAAATGTTTCTCACACTGGCTAACCAGATAGTTTTGAGATGTTTACAAGAAGAATATAGAGCCACACTCTTCGCTGGCTATTGTTCTTTTGCAATTTGAATTAGGAACCATTTTCCCCCAACCTTGAAATATCATTTGATCTCCAAAACTACAAGACCCCTGAGTGATCTGTCTTCCAGAAAAAGCTTTAAAAATTTTCCAGCTTAGTGGAGGTCACTCAGTTCACTGGTAATAATTTCAAAAGATTAATTATGCACTGTGTGATGGTGAATTTTCTTTTGTCTGTTCTAAATGTCTTTCCCAATAGGTGCCTTCTGGTTCTTAGGCTTGAGAAAAGGAGGAAAACTTTGTTGCATCTATTTTTTCCATGGCCTGATGAAACCAGGATAATCATGCCAGATCTGAAGAAGGTAGTGAGAGATAGAGGGGTTTGAAAAGTTGATCCATAGAACGGCCAAGAATCAGACACGACTGAATTGCTGATGACGATGACAGCATGGTTTAATATACCTTGACCATTTTCCTCTTGCCCCTCTTTTTTCGAAACCAAAAAAGTCCTGTATGTTCTAGTCACTTCTTCTGTAGAAGGTACTTAACATCTCTAGGTATTTTGTTTGCCTTTTTCTGCACTTTTTCAACCTTTTTTCGAGCATGCCAATCAGACATATATATGGTATTCCAGATGCAGTAAATATTATATGTATATTTGTAGAAAGCCATTATAATGTTGGTAATATTATTTTCAACTCCTTTCGTAATGATCCTTATCATGAAATTTGCCCCTTTCAATGCTGCGCTCTGATTCAACATCTTCATTAAGCTATCTTCTTTGACCCAAGATAATTTCCCTTTAGCTACAGTTTATGTTTCATAACTTTCAAGGTTAAATTATGGAAATTATTTTGCGCCTATTTAATTGAACTACATTTTAATTTATAAGGAAGTAGAAAAGCATCAGATGCAGATCCCTGAAGAGTTTCTTATTTTACTCCATTGAAATACAATACAAAAGTATTTACACTTTTCGTTTTTTCTTTTTGAAACAACAGTCCAGCTCATGATCAAATTTTAAAGAAAAAGTATCAAAACCTTAGCGCCTACTTGATGAGACCATCTGCCTATTAAATCCAGCATTCTTTTTCAAAAAAATGGAACTTCTTTACATGGGCAGAAAGGGCAGAAAATAACTTTCCTGTCTCACTGCGATTTTAAAGCAACCCCAAGGTTGCTCTTTTCTTTGATCGAAGGAGCAGTACAGATAGTCCTCAACTTACAACCAGAAAAATTACCATTTCTAAGCAAGACAGATGTTAAATTAATCATTGCCCCATTTTATGACCTTTTTGAATGGTTGATAATCATGAAGTTGTTAAGTGAATCATATGGTTGTTAAGTGAATCTGGCTTTCCTCATTGACTTTGTCTTGTCAGGAGCTCCCTAAGAAACTTCTTAGGAAGAAGAAATGACAGTCCCAGGACCCTTAAATCCTACAACCATCATACATACATGCTGAGTAACAAACACCCAAAGTTTGATCGCATGGCTGTCGGAATGCTGAAATGGTCATAACTGTGAAAACTGGTCATGTCATTTTTTTAGTACCACTGTAACTTTGAACAATCATTAAACGATTGGTTGTGAGTAAATGATTACCATATTTTTCAGAGTATAAGATGCTCCTTAGTTTTGGGGAGGAAAATAAGAAAAAAAATCTGTGTCTGCCTACCAGCTTCCATGGTATTCATCTGGCTAGCGTCCTGTCAATGTGTGAGAGAGTTGAGAGCTGTTTGGAAACAAACAGTATTTGCTGTGTGAACAACAAGGAAGGAGACACCAAGAAGCCTGGGTGTGGCTTGTTCTGTACTAAAGCTGCATGCTTTGCTGATATCTGAAGCTAAAACTGAAAGTGAAACTTCTCTCCTCTGCTGAACTACCATGTTGGAAAACCTGCTTTTGGTATAGTATATTTACTTAATGTGTTATATTATATATAAAGAGAAGTTATTTAATCCTGCTGAATCAGTTACTTGTGTGTGCTTTCTGAATGTGATTGCTGCTGCAAACTCTGACACGTCCTTGCAGAAAATAGCAAACAGTCAGGTCAGCTTCAGCACATTATTGCAGTCTGATTCAGCATAAGCAGCTAATTGGTGGGTGGATCGGCCTCCCAGAATACCCCCAATCAGCTGTTCCAGACTGCAGGGATTACCACAGACCATCACCTCTTCCATGTCTCACGTTTTTGGCTACATTCGGTGTATAAGACACACCCAAATTTTCAGCCTCTTTTAGGAGGGGAAAAAGTGTGTCATACTCCAAAAACACGGTATTTATTTGTATCCCACCTTATTTCTACAAAATAAATCAAGGAAGTGATCATAACCAATACATCTTCCTCCTCCTATTTTCTCCACAATAGCAATCCTATGAGTGAGTTGAATTGAGAGAGAGTGACTGATTCAAAGTCAGCCAGTCAATTTTTCAATGCTAAAGGTACATCTGGAACTCACAATCTCCCCATTTCTAGCCTGGTAAGATAAAGCATTCTTCTCTTCTGGATAATTTAGCAGGGGATTATGGGTCTTAAATTCAACCATCTGAAGGTTTGCTGAACCTTCAGAAGATTACTCTAAACAATATTAATTGGTAATTCATACTTATTATAGTTCATTAATCAAGCCAACTCGTTCCCTTGGTTGTAATGGGAAAGTGTTATAATTAATGAACTTTTCACAGCTAACCCCAAATCTTAAAAGTATTTAATTATGACAGTATCATAGGGAAATTTTTCCCATACCACAATTTTGAAATTTTTATTCTGATGAAATTCTCCACTGACTTGAACAGATGATTACATAATAGTACATAATATTACATAACAACAGATCCAAACGTTGTGTTTCAAAGAGTTTTCATTAATAAATGAGATACAAAGTTTAAATTTATGTTACAAAAAATCCTGACTTCCCCTAGCGTTTAAATCTGATCTTCTTTTTGACTTGTTTCAGCTGAAAAAGAAGAAGAAACAAACAATGCAATCTATCCAAATAACCTGAGCTGCTTCTGTGTATCAGATAGTTTTATTTAAGCTTTCTCCTTTTGACAAACTATGCAAAGAGTTGGTATTCCTTGGCAGTTTTATCTTAGAGGTCCGTGTCTTTCTTACTCATTAAGACTGTTTCTACAGATAACAAAGAGCAAATACTGCCTGGCTACCAGACTGTGAGAAAAATCTTCTTCAGTCCGGAAAAGTAAACATGGAATTTTCTTTTCACAGGGTGGAAAGCTTGGATGTTGTCCATTATCTATTTTATCACTGATTGAGAAGAGACAATAAAATTCTCCAAAGCAAAGCAGAAAATGATGATGTGGCAATTGATCTTCCCTGAGTTGCTACTACAGTTTACATAGTTGTCTAGGACTAATCACATTGGTCAAAATGATAGTTTTCAGCTGTTGGGTTAAACCATTATTTTAAAACCATTATTTATTCAATAAATCACAATGGGATGAATTCACATCACTTTAAATTGTAGCAATGATTTGTAAGTCACGATAGCTACATTCACACAACACATGCTTTTGGATAAAGCATATTCTTGGCATTTAGAAGTTATCAGCGTAATCTCCTGATTTCTTTCTAGTTCAGTGTTTCTCAACATAAAGGTGTGTGGCATTCAAATCCCAGAATTCCCGAAACAACATACTGGCTGAGGAATTCTGAGAGTTGAGAGTCATTTCAAATTGCCAAATTTGAGAAATACTGCTCTAGTTAAAAGCATCAGATCACCTGGTGTAGGGACAGTGGTATTTCTAGTAATACCAAGGTATAAAAATTTCATCCATAAGATTTTCTTCAAATAGCAAAATAGCTTTGCTTGGATTAAATATTTTATACTTAGAGCAGGGAAGAATATATTGATGGTGTTCTGCCTTAGAGAATGTCTATTTTGAATCTAAATTGTTGCTCAATCCTACTAACAAAGACACTAGATTTATTAAAGTTTTGGAAGTTCACATACATGATTAGCCAGTATCTCTATCAGTGCAGAAGGTTCACTAATGGAAGCCCTTGTGATAGTATCTATTGAAATAAACTAATATGTCTGTTTGTTTATTTTACATACACTCACCCCATACAAAGGCTGAGTATTTCTGGCTCTTGTAGCCAGTTCTGTGTACTATAAACAGCAAAAGAGAAAAGTGTCTTGAAAAATAAAGTTTAACTGCTTCTGTTGGTAAATAAAATAAACAACAGAATTATGGGCAATGTTTTTAAATTGAGGAATCTGTTTACATTATAATCAGCAAGAAAATAAATAGAAATCTGAAGATTTAAAAGTAACCAAGATAATTGATACCATATGAAATGAAAGGAAGAACAGTTGCCATATGTTAAAGAAGAATTACTTGCCTGGTGTTAAAACACTGGGTACTGCAGGTGTAGCTGGACTGTTAGCATCTTCATCATCTGACTCAACATCTATCTCAGTAGTTATCTCCGGCTGAAATTAAATATTTTGTTATTAAAGAGTCTTATACAATTAAATTACAAGAAACTTTAGAGAATCAGTGCATGTATATGGTTGATTGATATGGTAATGTTAATGCATATTATAACATTTGAGAATTGATAAATTGTAGAAATTTTGAGCAAAATAAATATATATGTGGAACAGATAAAATTTAATTCTTGACATTGCAACTTTAATATATATTTTAAACATTCTGACTGAGTTAATTTATCTTGAAGAAGGCTATAATGTGGCTTGTTCGGTTTTGGTTTAGTGTGTTGGGTGAATCCAGCCACTAAGATTTGCAAAGCATGATTTATTACCATTGCAGTTTGTTTAATGGACCACAATTAAACAACCTGTGCCTTAGGACGATAGGTGAATCCAGTCATTCAAAAATAAGTGATGCTAACACAAAGGAGGATTAATCAGACTTTCAGAGTTCTTGGGCAAAAATGGAATTGTGAGTCCATGTTTCAGATACTTTCCCAAAATGGAGGCTGAAGACAGGTTTGCTAATTCATAAAATGGATGCCAAAAAGGGCATGACATCTAACAAAGCACTGATTTAATAGAAGCTACCTATTTTCCTTTTTAGTACTTATTTTAAAGAACATTTCCACCCTGTAGCCCTAAACTACTATATAAAATGCTTGCTTTTCTATTTTATGGGGGGTTCCTCCTTCTTGTAAATTTGGCCATGGGGTGGGCTGCTGTAAATTTGGCCAGGGGTGTTGATTTGCAGAGGTTCAGGAGAACCTTAGCTAAGATTCTGTGCAGTTTGGAGGACCCCCAAATCCCACTCCTGGATGGCTATGCCCACCCCACCCCTCCCAGGAGTCCCCACGTGGCCTGTTTTGGATGCAGGAACGTGCAGGGTGCGTATGGAGGCTCGAGAAAAGGAGAAAACTGGGCCTACTGGAAGGCCAGAAATGGTCCCTTTCTGGCCTCTATAGGGCCCCCGGAGCCTGGGGAGGCCGTTTTTACCTTCCCAGGGGCTCAAGGAAAGCTTCCAGAGCCCAGGGAGGGAAAGAACACCTCCCCACTGTGGTGCAGGAGGCTGACTAGGCAGTACCCACCATCCCCCCGCCCACCCAGCAACCAGGCAGAGAACCCTTGCTAAAATTTTGAAGTGTATCCCTGTTTGGGACCCAATGATTTTCAATGAGCAGATGGCCATTTCATCTTAGTATTGTGCTATTGTCTGAATTTTGCACAACACTGTTATGATTCTTTCAATCCTTGTAAACCACCCAGAAGCATTGCGGTGAGATGAATAGCTCTATAAATTGCTAAAAAACAAACAAACAAACAAAAAGCACAAATTTCAGAATACATTGGACCAATTATTCTCACTTTCAGCCTCTCATATGAGTAATTTTCCACCATTTGTTTAGCAATTATTCAAAATTATGATACTAAAAAAATTGACTTATGACTAGTCCTCATAATCATTGTGACATCTCCATAGTCATATGATCAAAATTTAGGTGCTTGGCCTGAATTTACAATTGTAAATGGAGTCATGAGTCAGCATTTGTGACCTTCTCACCCGGCATCCAACAAGCAAGGTCAATGGGGGAAGCTGGGTTTATTTACAGTGAATCATGTAACAACTTTAGCAAAAACAGTTGTAAAATTGAATATAACTCATTTAACAACAACCCTACTTAACAATGGACATTCTGCCCCATTAATGCCTGTAAGTTAAAGACTATCTATATATATATTAAAAACCAAATAGCAAGATTATTCTGAATGTATTTAACTCAGTTCAGCATTGATTATATCTCTAACTGAGAACTATATGGCAAATAGGGATTGTGGCAGCATTCCTGGGAAGTGGGGGCTATGAGGGACATCTTTGTGACATCGTGGCAGACTCTGCCCATTTTCTATGTGTACTGTGATACCACATGCATGTACAAAAGGGAAAGAGCTTACATCATAATGCCATGGTTGTTTTCTTAATTCTGACAAAAGCTACACATAATTGAGGGTGGCCTGGATTGTGAATTTATAATACTTTACCATCTCTTCTAATCATGCTAGTAATCTTCCAGGCCCTGACTGACTGACAGGAAAGTCAGCAGCATTAGCAACAAAATTATTAGTCATATATTAAATTACACACCAGAGGTGAACACGGCATATACAAACTACTTGAGATCCAACGGCGCTTATGTGGAGGATTCTGAGTTCGATTCTGGATGTGTATAGGTACAGCTCTCTGGAAAGTAAAACATAATTCAAATGATTTAGTGGCCATTGAAAACTCATGCCATAATTCATACTCTATCCTAGCATTTTCAAAATCGTTACTAAAAAAATGAAGTTATAGAAAAGTTTGGAATGTAGATTTATGAAGGAATCCTTGTTGGCATTGGTGTTCATATTAAGAACAACTGCCAGTATAAGACAAATGAAAGTTAATGTTCAATCTCCAAATCAGAAGGACAAGACATTGTGTGATCTAGAGCTCCTAATTCACCAAATGAATCACAACTCGCAAGAGATATCATTACATCCATGCAGGTCATGTAAGCCAGAGGTGGTATTGAGCAGGTTCTAACTGGTTCTGGAGAACCGGTAGCGGAAATTTTGAATAGTTCGGAGAACCAATAAATACCACCTCTGATTGACCCTGCCTCCATCTATTCTCTGCCTCCCTAGTCCCAGCTGATTGGGAGGGAATGGGGATTTTGCTGTAAACTTCCCCTGGAGTGGGGAGGGAATGGAGATTTTACAGTATCCTTCCTCTGCCTCGCCCACCAAACCACACCACGGCTACCAAGCCACGCCCACATAACCAGTAGTAAATTTTTTTGAATCCCACTACTGATGTTGAATCCCGTTATGATGTACAGAAGCATCCACAAAACAAAAAACACCTCAAATGAAAGGTCGAATTTTGTGTTTATCCCCAAACTAGGCTTCATGCTAATATCAGAAGAGCCACATAAATCAGAAATCAGGTCCCTTCTATACTCTAAATTTCAAAAATAGCATGTGCTTTTAGATTTAAAGAAAAAAAAAATACGGAACATGGGTACCTATTATACCTACCCTTTCATTTAGTAATGGGCGTCTGAATTTCACTGATTGTTGCAGTGATTGTCTAATATGCATCTCATTCTTAATAGCATGCAGGCTAGAAATAAATGGAAAGAATCCAAATTTTAAATTAATTAAATGTCTGGCCCCCTGCAGCTTCATTTTCATTAGAGTAGAGTTGACACTGAAAGTTTTATATAAGTTCCCCAATACATATTTAGGTTCAGTGCACCCATCCACTCAGTGTCCCATTGTAAATTATTCCTGCAAGTCCCCATATTCAAAGACAGTGAACTTTGCTAGTTAACAAGCAAAAAAACCTGTAAATTCCAGCCTAAATAATAGCAAATTGGACAAATGCTACCACAAGCTATTTTTAAATATTATAACAAAATATCCTTTTCCTTTATAATCTGGAATGTTGAATCTCCTCCTTCCCGTATTCCCATATTTGGAGGTAGCAATATTTGCCTCCTGTTAAGATTTGGCGCTTCAACTGTTTTCGGAGATTTCTCAAGAACAGAACGTAAGGATTTAACTGGACTATCAGCTAGTTGTTTCAGGACCCAGGACCGTGATGCGAACCTATGGCATGTGTGCCACAGGTGCAGCACCCTCTCTGTGGGCACTCGACCTGTCCCCCCAGTTCAGCTCTGCTGTGCATGCGATGTTTCCCACCAGTTGGTCTTCAGGTCTCTGCTGCACATGCATGAGGGGGGCACCTATGTGAGGGGGCATGCACATGCATGTGGGGGAACATGTGGAGGGGCATTTTGGGCACTCAGTCCAGAAAAGGTTAGTCATCACTGACCTAGGATGTATTTTATCTATTCCTGGAAATTTAAACTCAGTGTAAAAAATATTTCCAGATCATATTTATATCAATTTCAAACTTTAATCCTGCACTTTGCAATTTCCTGGTTGGATACACAGAGTTTCTTTGTTAGAAAAGTTGGAAACAAAATGGGAATTAAATCGTTTTTTTTTTTTTGCTAGCTGTTAGCATTTTGCCTTTTCTATTAGGCAGTTTGTGTCACTATTTTACTTTTAATTATATTTAACAAAGACCTTTTGATTGGTCTTAGCATTCTTAGCCAACCTCAGCTCATTCTTAACTTTCATTTTTCTAACATTGGATTTACAATTCTGGGCTACTTGTCTGTATTTTGCTTTGTGATCTGGCAATCTTTCAATTTCCTGTATGTGTTCTGCTTTGTTTTCATGTCTTTAGCAAGTTTTTTGCATAGCTACATTGGCTTCCTTTCATATTTTTTCTTCTCATTGAAATTTCTTTCAATTTTGCTTTTCATGTTTCCTTCTTTAGGAGTTCCCATTGATACTGAGAATCTTTTCCTATTGGTTTCTCCTGTCATAGGATTTGGCTTTTAATTTTTAAAGTTGAGTAAAATCCACTGTCTTTAAAACTAAATATCAGTTGGTCTTACCTGAAGTGCATGTCCAGAAGCTGGCATGGGAGCAGTCACATGTGGGTATTATCACGGCCCATTTGCCTGAAGACTGAGGTAATTTTGAGGCCACTCCCTATACTCCTCCTCATGACTCCCCAGATTAACCGATGGTCCAGTCCAAGGAGAGTCTGGGAAGGAAGGGAACAGGAAAACACAAAACAACAACTCCCTCCCCCAGGCCTGACTGACCCACAACTAATCTCCCTGCGCCCCCATGCGCAGGCACGTACTGAACGGGCAGGTAGTGACTGCTCCCACACCAGCTTCTAGACATGCAGTTCAGGTAAGACCAACTGACAGTCTCAGAAGCGAGGCATGGGAAGAGTCACATGTGGGACATACCAAAGCTAGATGTTCATGGGAGGGAATTATTGGGCCTGAGCCCCCCAAGTGTCCAGCACTCTCTGAAGAACTCTCCTACCAAATGATGCCTCCGCAGAGGCATAGACATCCAGCCAGTAATGCCTAATGAAGGGAGAGGGCGAGGCCCAAGTGGCCGCCCTGCAGATGTCCTCAATTAGGTGCCTGGGTAGCCCAGGCCGCAAAGGTTGCCGCACTCCTGGTGGAGTGCGCGGTTATGCCTTCTGGAACCTTGCCTCACAGGCCTTGGTGATGGCTAGCCTAATCCATCTGCTGATGGAGGCAAGTGATACCTTAGCCTCCCTTGTAGAAGGCTGGAAGGAGAAGAAAAGCGCCTCCAATCTCCTGAAGGTGGCTCTGCGTTTAAGGTATATATATGCAGCGCCCTACACATGTCCAGGCAGTGCCAGGACCTTTCCCTTTCTCTGGAAGGTGCCAGACAGAAGTCCGGGAGCACCAGCACCACCTATGGAAGGGGGTGTTGACCTTGGGAAGGAAAGCCAGGTCGAATCTGAGAACCACCCTGTTGTCGTGAAAGGTACACAAATCTGCCCTGGCAGATAAGGCATTGATCTCAGACACCTGCCTAGCTGAGGTGATGGCTACCAGGAACACCACCTTGAGTGTGAGGAGCTGGAAGGTTACCTCCTGCAGAGGCTCGAAGGGCACCTCTGTAAGCGCTTGGAGCACTGAGAGAAGGTCCCAGGTGGGAACCGATGGATCACTGGGGGTCGAAGATTAGCCGCCATTCTGAGGAACCTCTTTATGACCAGGTGCTGAGGGATAAGGTCCTAGAACCCACCTCCCCAATGACTGTGGCCAAGGCCAAGACCTGCCTTCTGAGGGTACTGGGGGCCAGACCTTTTTCCAACCTATCCTGGAGAAACTCCAGTACCTGCGGCGCTGATGCCGAGGTTGGATCTACCTGGGCTGACCTGCACCAGGTTACAAAGGAACTCCATGTCTTATCGTAAATGCATGTGGTGGACTTCCTTCTGGAAGCCTCAATGGTCCTGATCACTCTGGCTGAGAACTGTGCCTCCCTCAGCTGTTCCCGCTCAAGCACCAAGCGATTGATTGGAGCCACCCCAGATCCGGATGATCCAGTCTCCCCTGGCGCAGAGCTACTTCCTCCCTGGGAATCCTCCAATGAGGCAGAATTGACAGACCCACTAGGCCCACAAACCAGGGACGCCGGGGCCAGTGGGGCGCTATCAGGATCACCTCTGCCCTCTCTAGCACTAGCTTCCTCAGAACCCTGGAAGGAGAGGAAGGGGTAAAGGAGGCCTGACAGCCATCTGCAGCAAAGGGGGTCGACATCCACCGCTCTTCGGGCCAGGAACCGCCAGATGAACCTTGGAACCTGGGCGTTCAATGGGGTGGCAAAGAGATCCACTGTCGGCCCACCGAATCTCTGGCAAATCTGCTCAAAGATGCTAGGATGCAACTGCCACTCCCCATGGTCCACTGTCTCCCTGCTGAGCCAGTCTACTTGTCGGTTGTCCACGCCTGAGATGTGTTCTGCCCGAATTGACAAGAGATTCCTCTCCACCCAGTTGTCCAGCCGAACTGCCTCATAGTGAAGCGCCAAGGAGTGCATGCCCCTTAGTTTTTTCACATGAGCTTTGGCTGCCACGTTGTCCGTCAGGACCAGGAGATGTTGACTGGCCACCGCCTCCTTGAAGTGTTGCAGCACAAAGTGAATCACCCTGCGTCCTAGCCAGTTGATGTTCTTTCGTAGATTCATGGGCGTCCACCTTCCTTGAGCTATCTGAGACTGAAGGTGTGCCCCCCAGCTGAACAGGCTCGCGACCGTAGTCAGAATCAACCTGTCTGGTTCCCTGAAGAGAGAGCTCTTGGACAGTGCCGGGGACATCCACCAACAGGAGAGAAATACCTGGGATGGCACCAGGACCTTGAAGAGGGCGTCACACATCCCGTCTCTCTGGTGCGGTAGCAGGAACCACTGTAGCTTTCTGATGTGGAGGCGAGCCCAAAGCACTATCCCAATGCAGGAGATAAACTTTCCCAGGAGCCTGGAGAGAAGGACTATGGGAACAGAACGTGTCTTGCGGATCTCCCGGATCAACTCCAAGATATTGTCCCTATGCTCCTGTGACAAAAACACCTCACAAGGCACTGAATCAATGATGGTTCCTAAATTTTGGAGCTTAGTGGTAGGGGTGAGATGACTCTTCTCAAGATTGATCGAGAACCCTAGGGTCTGGAGGGTGGCAATAGAGCCAGGTCCCTCTAAGCTTGGTCCGTGGTAGTGGCCAGCACGAGAACGTTATCTAAATAGCAATGTAACCGGACTAGAAAGGACTGGAGATGACTTGCAGCTACAGCTAACACCTTGGTGAAGGTCGTGGGGGCAGACGCCAACCCAAAGTATTGGTAATGCACCCCTCCATATGCAAACCTAAGGAATTTACGGTGGTTCGATGCAATCATGATAGAGAGGTACACTTCTGTGAGATCAATGGATGCTAAGAAGTCACCCTGTCTGATACCTTCTAAGATGGACTTGAGGGAAGCCATCTTAAATTTCCGGTAGACCAGTCTGGAGTTCAACAACTTGAGGTCTAAAATTGTCCTCCACCTCCCTGAACTTTTAGGAACTATGAACAGATTGGAATAAAACCCTAAACCCTTCTCCTCTTTCAGGACCAACTCCACTGACCTGATGTCTAGTAAATGCCGAATGGCCTTGCACATCAGGGAATGCTTAGCAGGATTCTTGGAGGAAGAGAAAAGACAGAACCTAGTCGGGGGATGGGAACGAAACTCTAACTGCAAACCAAACTCAACCAACTGAAGAACCCATGCATCAGTGGTGATGCGATTCCAGTGATCCGCAAACAAGGAAAGGCTGATCAGGAAATCCGATCCCGAATCACCTGTTCCTGGGGAAGGGACAGCCACCCCCTCTCGAAAGGGACGCTTACTGGGTTGTTGGTACCTGTCCCTGTCCCTAGAGAAATTCCTATCCCCCTGTCTGGGGTATCTGGGAGCAGAATACCTCGGCTGTTGGAAGTCCTGCTCAGGGGGTCGGTAGGAGGACCTCCTGGGGTAGGGTGCAGGGCATTGGTCAGAGCGCTTGGTCGTGGAAGGGAAGATCTTGTGCTTGTTCTTGTCCTCGATAAGAATAGGGTCAAGGGAGGCTCTGAACAGCTTGTCTCCTGTGTACTCCACCCCTGCCAAATGCCACTTTGCCTGGGACTCTGCTTGCCAATTATGCAGCCAGAGGAGGCGCCTGGAAGCCACCGAAGAAGAAAGATCCCTGGAAGAATACTTGACCACATCCAGTGTAGCATCAACTGAAAACTGGGTGGCCACCATCAACTTCTTGATATCTTGCAATAGTCTCACATCTGAAGTGGAGGTTTGATTGTTAAGTTGTTCCAGCCAAAGCAGAGTGGACCTGTTGAAAAATGAAACAGCAGCAGCCACCCTGATCGCCCACAATACAGCCTAAAAGGTCTTGCGCAGAACCAGCTCCGCCTTTTTATCTTCTGCCTTCAGACAATTGGAAATATCACCAGTTACCACCGCGGAGGCGGAGGCCAGCCCAGCCACTGGGACATCTATATCTGGAACCTGCAGTGCTTGGGCAAAGGTTGTGTTAAGATTGTAAAACCTGCGATCATTACTGCCTGGAGTGGGGAAAGTGCCTGGCCTAGCCCACTGAGATTTGAGCACCTCCATGAATAACTCAGGGGTAGGAATCTCTTCCTTTTCCACGTGTGGCTTATAAAAGGGCCCCTTCTTGGTCCCACAACTGGAGGTGGAGGCAGTAGCTGTTTGAGAAGGGGCTGGAGTGCTGTCCAGATCTGCAATAGCCCTGGCCTTGCAAAGCAGGGAACCAAATGAGGCGGGAGGAAACAAGTCAGCAATAGCAGGGGCTCTGGAACTTGGGAATCTTCGTCCTCAGAGAAGTCCACATCCTTCTGCCCCTCCTCTTCCAATCCTGACCCCTCACTAGCCGTGGAAGGGGAATCCAATCTGCGCTCTCTAGCTGCAGAAGATTGGGGTTGGTCTGGATGACCTCATAGGGTACCATGAGATGATTTTCATCTAGAGGCTTGAAATTGATGTTGCATGCCCGATGTGATGCCCTGAGCAATGGCACGGGCAATCACATCTTGAAACCCTTCAGAAAGCTCTGGATAACCTGGCGAAAAGCTAGGGGCTCTGCCAATTGAGGAGCCAAGCGTGGCCTGGAGGAAACAGATTCCCTGAAGCCAAAGGGGTCTCCCCGGTGTCCTGAGGACTGGGCAGGAGACAGAGGGGGGGATAGGGGAGTAGCCCCCTTCGCAGAGCCACATGGGGAACCAGGAGAACACAGTTGGACCTCTGGCAAGGGTAAAGGCCTGAGAGGAGATCGTGACCTGGATGGGGAAGGGCTGATTTCCTCCCTTATCCTTCTACCAGCCACCCTGCTGATGCCACCCTTGTTGGGCTCCCTCCTTCTAGTAGATTTAGAGATGGCCTTTCTTGAGGCCGACCTCCCCCTCGTTACAGGGGTAGTTCCATGGGAAGTCCCCTTGCCCGGACCCAAATCACCTGGTGATCTAGGGGCAGCCACCACCCCGCACTCCTCGTTGCATCTGCCATCGCTTTACTCATAGTTGTTGCCTTCCCACTTTCATTCACGCTGCCAACCGGCTTGGGCTTCTGCGTTGCAGTCCGGAGCTCCTTCAGACCAGCGCCATCCACAACCACACTGCCAATCTGCGACCCAAAGAGGCCGGCCCATCGCCGAAACAAAGGGGTCCTCCCCGGATTACCGGCAGAGCACAGGCCCGAAGGATCCTCCCTGGTGGTGTTCCTGGGCGCTTGCAGCAGCTGCAGACAAGTGCGCTGATCTTCGTGCCCCTCCACGTGCATCCCAAGATGGTGACCTCCTACCACGTGGTCCGATTGCAAGCCGGCTTCAACCGAGCTGCTCCCTCAGAAGCCTCCTGAGCACCCCGTGACCCCTTCTGATGGAACCAGGGGTCGCGTGGACAGCGCCCTATGGTGTGCGGCCTGGAGCCTCCCCTTTAACTGGCCAGCGGCTTGGGGGCTCCCCAATAATGCAGCAAGCCTGGATTGTGCAAAGAAAAAGGCTTCAACAACACAGAGACGCAGGGAAGAAAGGTGGAAGAAATCACAAGTGCGAAAAAGGCTACAGACAAATTTAAAGTAACCAAAAGAACCTTGAAACCAATGAAGAGTCAAAAACTACTTCTTCTGGGTCGAAGACTGAGGTTAATAGCAGTAGACTTAGCAGTAGACTGGGGAGTCACAAGGAGTAGTAGAGGGAGTGGCCTCAAAATACCTCAGTCTCCAGGCAAATGGGCTGTGATAATACCCACATGTGACTCCTCCCACGCCTCGCTTCTGAGACTTGCATATTTTGACTATGGAGTTCTTGGTGTTTCTCTGAGCTTGGTTGTTTGCTTGCATATGTTTCATTAACATCCGTTATTATGGTTGCATCTATTCATGTGTTGTACAAACACCTAACAGAGGGGAAATTTGCAAGTATATTCCCCAACCACCAAAATCCTCATGTCAATTCCTGATTGCTCATTCATTTCACTTTTCCTTGGAACGAGGCTGCCTGATATTGCTTTTCAGCCTTTGCTTACTCAATAAAGAATCATCCACCTAGACCAGGGGTGTCAAACTCAATTTCATTGAGGGTCACATCAGGGTTGTGTTTGACCTTGGAGGGAGAGCGTCACCAAGGTGGACATGGCCAGCTTGATGTCACTCATGTTGGAGACGCCTGTGTGGCCCGAGAGCTCTGCCAGTGAAAATGGGCTCCTGAGCTCCGTTTTTAGGTGAAATGGTTTCCTGCAACTCTCTGCCAGCTCTGTTTTTGCTGGCAGAGGCATGGCGGGCCAGTCCCCTGCTGTTTCTAGGGCGGCCCTGCAGGCCAGATGTAAGCACCCCACGGGCTGAATCCAACCCCCTAGGTCTTGAGCTTAGCACCCTTGACCTAGACAAACAGCAGCTCACAAGATACAGTCCTTGTAATTATCCACTATTCAGCAAATGAAAAAAAGATGAGCTTTTCAGACTTCACTGCCAACACACAATTCCTCAAAGTTTCTCTGACTTCTATTTTTCCTCTCCAGCAAATTTCTTTTAGTTTTCTTTCTTCAGTATTTCAATGAAGAATAAAATGCATTTTGAAATCTTTTCTCAGCCTACTAATTTTAACTGTCATTTAGGTGATGCACAAAAAGAGTTATATAATTTGCTTATAGGATTCTGGACTAATTCTAGTTGCGAATGTATTTTACCAACACTTTAAAATGTCCAAAGAAGTTTTGTCATTACTATGTGTGAGTGGCTGTACTTAGGGTTATGGGTGAAAGAGGCCACAATGATGGGTTCAACAAACTATACAACAAAGCAACCACACAAGATATGTGTATTTGTGGTATGATGTGTTAATACAATCAAATAGATATTATTAGTAACATAATACCTTCTCTTTAGAATATCAAACTTTAATTCCCAACATTGATTCAACTCACTGAATTCCTTCTGAAGTCTGAAAAAAGAAGGAGGAACATTTATAAATTTTATTTAAAGGTTTACTTAATTTGCATGCTGCCCTATTCCCGAGAGACTCAGGGCGGCTAACAATCTGAGGGGAAGGGGGGGTACAAAATAAAAGTTAAAAGACAAACAATTTAAAAATACGGCAACATTCATACCTCGGATGGGGCTGGAAGATTCAACAGCCCCAGGCCTGCCAGAACAACCAGGTCTTAGTAGCTTTGCGAAAAGCCGGAAGGGTGGTAAGGGTCCGGATCTCGATGGGGAGATTGTTCCAGAGGGCCGGAGCAGCCACAGAGAAGGCCCTCCTCCGGGGAGTTGCCAGCCGACATTGGCCGGCAGATGGAATTCGGAGGAGACCTAGTCTGTGGGATCTAATCGGTCTTAGGGAGGTAATTGGCAGGAGGTGGTCTCTCACATATCCAGGTCCGATACCATGAATGGCTTTATAAGTGACGACTAGCGCCTTGAAGCGTGTCCGGAGATCAATGGGCAGCCAGTGCAGCTCACGGAGGATAGGTGTGACGTGGGTGTACCGAGGTGCACCCACAATCGCTCGCGCGGCTGCATTCTGGACAAGCTGAAGTCTTCGAACTCTCTTCAAGGGCAGCCCCATGTAGAGCGCGTTACAGTAGTCCAGACTTGAGGTCACGAGTGTGTGAGTGACTATCCGAAGGGCCTCTCGGTCCAGGTAGGGTCGCAATTGGTGCACCAGGCGAACCTGGGCAAAGGCCCCCCTGGTCACAGCCGACAAATGATGTTCTAAAGTCAGCTGCGGGTCCAGGAGGACTCCCAAATTGCGAATCCTCTCTGAGGGGCGTATAATTTCACCCCCCAGGCTGAGTGATGGAATAGCTGGACCATCTTTGGGAGGGAGCATCAATAGCCACTCAGTCTTATCGGGATTGAGTGCAAGCTTGTTCGTTCCCATCCAGACCCTAACAGCCTCCAGGCACTGGCACATCACTTCTACCGCTTCACTGAGTTGGCACGGGGTGGACAGATACAACTGTGTATCATCCGCATATTGGTGATATTTAATCCCGTGCCGGCGCATGATCTCACCCAGTGGCTTCATGTAGATGTTAAATAGGAGGGGGGACAGGACCGAACCCTGTGATACCCCATAGTTGAGGGGCCTAGGGGTCGACCTCTGTCCTCCGACCAACACCGACTGCGACCTGTCCGAGAGGTAAGAGGAGAACCACCGAAGAGTGCCTCCCACTCCCACCTCCTGCAACCGTCGCAGAAGGATACCATGGTCGATGGTATCGAAGGCCGCTGAGAGGTCAAGGAGCACTAGGATAGGGGAATGACCCCTATCCCTGGCTCTCCAGAGATCATCAATTAGCACGACCAAAGCAGTTTCCGTGCTGTAGCCAGGCCTGAATCCTGACTGAAAGGAATTCAGATAATCGGTTTCATCCAAGGACTGCCGGAGTTGAAAGGCCATCACTTTCTCAACAACCTTCCCTACAAAGGGCAGGTTGGAGACTGGATGATAGTTGCTCAAAATGGCTGGATCCAAAGAAGGTTTCTTCAGGAGGGGTCTCACCACCGCATCCTTTAAGAGGAGCAGAAAGGATTCCTCCCAGAGAGAGGTGTTAACTATCATCTGGATCCAGCCGTGTGTTACCTCCCTGCTGGTCGAAACCAGCCAGGAGGGGCAGGGGTCCAGTATACAAGTGGAGGCACTCACCGCTCCCATGGCCTTGTCCACTTCCTCAGGAGCGACAAGTTGAAACTCGCTCCATAAGCTCTGCTCAAGACCTTCCCCCGGTACCTCGGCTGGTACCGTGCAATTGGAGTCCAGGTCTGTCCTACCTTGTAAAGGGTCATCCGCGTCCCTCCCTTTCAAGAGGGAGCGGGTTATTCTAAACAAGGCGGCTGGGCGCGATTCAGTGGCTGCAATAAGGGCAGCAAAATGCGCAGATTTCTCCGCCCGTACTGCCATGTAAATATGGCATGATTGTCTTATACATACATTCTTGTCACTTACTTTAGTGCTTGCAATCTTGCTTCCTCTTCAGCTTTCTTAAGCCTTTTTATTTCATTATATAATGCTTTTCTCTCAGCCGCCATTGCCTTTTGAAATATAATTTGCAGCACATGCACATAGACACAGACACACACACATATGAACCATGCATTAATTATGGATGTATGGAAAATGCTGAACACAGTTATAACAGTTGAGCAGAGAGAAATATTTATTCATTTAAGATTATCTTCTATCAATCAATCAATCAATCAATCAATCAATCAATCAATCAATCAATCTATCTATTGCTACCTACCTACCTACCCAACCTACCTACCCTACCTACCTACCTACCTACCTACCTACCTACCTACCTACCTACCTAATCTATCTAAAAAATTTATCTCCATGGCCAAATTCCCTTAGAATTGGAGCCATTACATGTAGTCCTCGATTTACATCAGTTCATTTAGTGTTTGAAGTTACAACAGCGTTGAAAAAAGTGCCTTATAATCATTTTTCACACTTACGACCATTGGCAGCATCCCCATGGTCACATGATCAAAATTCAGATTCATATTTATGATGGTTGCAGTGTTCTGAGGTCCTGTGATTACCTCTTTTGATCTTCTGACAAGCAAAACCAATGGGGAAGTCAGATTCACTTACCATCCATGTCAAGAAAAGTCATAAAATGAGGCAAAATTTATTTAACAAATGTCTCTCCAAAACAGAAATTTGGGGCTTAATACTGGTCATAAGTCGAGGACTACCTGTAGTAAAAAACCTACCTACCATACACCACATTAAAACTACTGAATGTAATTATTAACCAAAAATACACAGCAGCTGAGAAGACTATGGGTTATACAAAAGCCTTAGAAAACAGTATGTACTTACAGTATGTACAGCAGGTTTATTCAGAAACCTACATCTTGTTTAAAAATCTAAAAGTATTTTTAATTCTAGATAAAAAAAAGATGTCATGTAAAAACAGATTAGTTCGAATGCTATTGAAAAAGGTAGTGATTTGTGAAGATCAGGAGTATGATGTCTACTGTCTACAAATGGCAATAACTAAGGGCATCTACCAGATCTTACTATCTTCATCAAAACTGCCCTCTCCTAACTATCTGCAGTCTCATTGACAAAAAAGATTTGAATTGAATTGAATTGAATTTATTGCATTTATATGCTGCCCTTTTCCCCGAAGGGGACTCAGGGTGGCTCACAATCCAAGTCAGGGAAAGG